CTCTTAGGGCAGAATTAACCAAAAGACAGAGACTCGGTCAGCCCTGACCCGGGCCATCCAATTATGTGGGCACTGTGCATTTCAGTCTTTCTGCAGGGAGAATTATGGCCCCACCAGTTATAAATAGCTCTGGGTGGGAGGGCAGCCCCTTACTACAGAGATATCCTTAAGGATATTTTATTTTCTAGGGAAAACATGCCCACACACACACACACACACACACAATGATGTCAGGTATCTGCTCTAGCTTAAGACACCAAATTTCCTTTTCTGTTAAGACCATGGATCAAAGTCGGACAATCTCTAGCAAACAGTAACTTTTGCCTTGGCTTCTCATTTGCACAATAGCAAGCATTTGTCACTCAACTTTCTGGAACATTAAAAAAACTTGACAAACTAGAGAGAATATCTAACGTGTTAAGACGACTAAATATATATATATATAAAATTTATACCCATATATAAAATTACATATACCTATGCATAAAATTTCTACCTTTATTTATCGATTTTACTTAACATTTTCCAGTATATGATTAAGCAGATGGCAACGTGTGCAGTAAGATAAATATTGTTCAATGCTGCATATTTCTGTATACCAAGTGTATTGCATTGCTCAAGCAAAATAAAACTCCATTGAGAGTGTGAAAACAGCAAACCATCAAGAAAATACCCTCTGGTCTCAAAACATTTGGATAGAAAGAAAAGCTACGCCTCTGAGCCCGTTAGAACCAGAGGCAATCCGGATACAGTGAACCCATTTTTCAAAGTCACTGCCAATGTCTGAAAAAGTCCTGAGTTATCTGAGTAATGTGAAGTATGAGGAATTTCTGCCGAAAAATCAACATTTCAAAGGAGTCAGACAACACAGAAACCCCATTCTACTTTAAGAGAGAGAGAGTGTGTGTGTATGTGTGTGTGGAAGGGCAGTAGAAAATTAGGTTTCTTAAATGAAACTTAGTGAGATCAGTTTATCTAAGGGCACAAGCAATAAATCTGAGGACCTCAAGTGGATCAATAAACATTCGTTACATTAACACACACAGCTCTCTTTCATTTTCTCCAATTCTATTCAGAACCTGTAGCGTGATCTTTCTGACGCCCTCCGTCATGTTTCTGCTCCCTTTATAAGTGAGCCCATCTGTTTCTTAAATTCCGAGATGACAGGAAAATCCACAGCTTACTGGAGACCCAATGCAGGCATCAGTGTCACAGCCACAAAACTCAGCTGCAATTCACGCAATGATTCGAATATTTAACAGCTTTGAAAGAGGCTGAGAGGAAAAGGGGAGCCTACAAATCTTCTATGGATCTGCCCATCTTGCCTCTATCCTCACGCTCTCTGACTCTGTTGCTTGAGAAACTGAGTGTCTTCTTGGCTTCTTAAAATGCACCAAAAATACAACTGGGTCCTTCCACTGGGACGCAGCCCCCCAAACACAAAAGAGGGGAGTACAGAAGCCTTGGGAGGGTGGGCACAGGAAGCAGCAAGGTCTGATTTGGAAAGTGCTCTGTACACAACGCCTGCCTGACACTCTGGGACACACCCACCATCACCACCCGGGCCACAGATTCCCCTTGCACGTGACAACCACAACTGACGACTCCACCCAACTCCCGCCCGCAACAGAGCCCACAGACGAGGCATCATCTTCCAGGCTTGTGCCTCAGCAGCTCCTTACAAGAGCCATCTGGAAAATCACAGCGAATTTTTTTTTAATGTCTCACTCCCGAATCTCCCTCCAAAGCATCATGCCAGCAGCTTCGCCAAGGTCTGCAGACAAACCGCATGTTGCAGGGGCCTCAGAGGCTCGAGAAATGGTCTGGTCCTCGCCTAGCCTGCAACCCCAGCTCCGGCGACACGAGACTTTGGGAACAGCCTGCCCCCTTCTGGTCTCCTTGAGCTCACGGAAGGGCAGGGGCCGGGTGGGCACAGTCGGAGGAGGACAGACCCGCGCTGCACCCAGCATGTCTGCACTGTAGTTTCAGGAACTAGCAGGACATAGGGGTAGATGTTGGGGGAGGGAGAACAGAGGAGTCGCAAAAGCAGATAAAATAAAATCCAAATCCCGGAGAGAGAAGAGTGAACAACAGCATGGTAGACAACCACAAAGAAGGGAGGAAGACAGGAAAAATAAAAAAATACATAGTAGACGTCTATAGCAGAAGGTAAATAAATGGAGACATTGGGAGATGTGGCTGGGGGACAGTTAACTGATCTTGAAGATTATGAAAGCGGAGTTTCAGGAAATCAAAGCAACTCTGCGGCTAGAACTGGAATTCCAAAAAGAATAAAAAAGGAAAAGTGGCATGCTCCCACCCACCCCTCCAACTGCAAACCTCTCTGTGGCTGAGCTGGGAGGTGAGCGACTAAGACACTGAACTGAACGCACAAAGAGGGGGTGTAGACGGAGTATTCACAGCGTCAGGGACTCAGGAAGAAATCAGCCAGCCAGGCCTCCCGCCTTCTTTCCGCTTGTTGCAACAGGTGGAATTTGCACCCAAAAGGCGCCTCCTGATGCCCGTCTGAACCCCAGATGCAAAGGAGACACTAAGTCTCCTGTCTCTCATGTCCACCCTACGTGTTCCCACCCTGGACCAGCAGCGCACATCCAGAACTCCTCCCACCCTGCCTCCCAGCAGGGCTCCGAATCCAGAAAGAACTTCTAATTGCATCTCTGCCCAAACACATCACTATCCACTCCAAGAGTTCCAAGGCAGCGTCGGGGAGCACCCTTTGCCACAAACAAGAGGCCGCAGGACTTTGAGAATGTTCTGGTTCTCCATCAGGAACCTCACTCCACTCTCCTCCCCAAAAACGGGGGAAAGACATCTCCCAGCTACCCACACCGAACAGCCAGGAACATGAAATGCCATCGCATCACGTCTTGGGGCTGGCTCAGCCCGCAGGCACAAAGGGCCATCCTCCGGCAAAGAGGGTTACTGTTGCCTCCAAAGAAGTTTAGCAGATCAAAAAGCACCACGCTGTGCCGAAGGCAGCCTTCAGTGAGGGCTCCCAAAGTGACAAGTGACAGAGACGTGCATTCAGTGCCTGCGGATCCTGAAAATACCCCCTGGTGTCTAATGTCCCCCAAGGGCTGGGAGAATCCCTGTAGGCAAGTGGTATGATGAAGACACAGACAGACACACGCCACATCGTTATGCCTTCAGACAGACACTCACATGACCGGGTGCTGAGACCCTGGCCCAACGTTGGAGACTGTGACCTCCAGACCTGTGTGCTCCTGGTTCAGTGGGCTCAGCAAGGCGGCCCAAAGAAGGCATGAAAGGCATCCCTGGAGAAGTCGGGGACAGGAAGACACCCAGATGGCCCCAGAAGATCTGTGGAAGGAAGAGTTTCCAAGCACAGAGCGTTCACATCCAAGAAGGGCAAAGAAAATCCACAGGAGCCGAAGTCATGATTGTGTGGTCAGACACACGGCTGTTGACAGGAACCAGCTACACACAAGACAGAGTGCCAGAGACAAGCATCGAGAAGGGGCCGTACCCGGACACTGGAGAGCAGCCCGCAAGGAAAGTCGGAGAGGGCACCAGGAGAGGGCAAGGTTAGAGACGGAGGAGACATCCAGAGATGGGAGACCGGAGACCCAAAGTAAGACCAGGCACCCAAGACTGAGTCTTGATTCAGAGACACGCTGGGGACTTGGGGCACCGATCCCAGACCCCCTCTCGGGCCAGGCAAAGACAACCAGGAGGCAAGCAGGGGACGGAGTGGTCTGCACTCGGCTCAGCAAAAACCAGAGATGCTGCGAGCAGCACCGGAGCAGCGGCCAAGGATCCGCGGCAAGATCCACGCACTCAGACAGGGAGCAAGCCGCCAACACCCACATGCACAGAGCGAGTCGGGGCGCCAGCGAGAGTGACGGGGAACAGGAACCCAGCCAGGCTCCAGGAACCCCCAAAGCGCTTCCTCCGGAGCTAACTTCCCCAGACCCCAAGGGGGCAGACCTCAGAGTCGGGATGGGGCAGCCCACGGCGCCTGAGCCTTGCCAGGGACCCCACCCCGGCTTCCAGGGGAAAGAGATGTGGAGCCAGCAGGCTTGGGGAGTCCCAGTCTGAAGATTGGGGTTCCAGGGCTGGGGGGCGTGGGGTCGGGGCTGCCTCTCTTCTTCCCTCCTCTCTCCCTCCCTCCCTTCCTCCGGGACGAGAGCCGAAAGGGCATCTTACCAGCGCCCGCGCGGGCAGTGACCCCCGGCTGGCCGGCCGCTGCGCCCGGGCTTCTCCGGGGCCGCCTCCCCGCGCGCGCGCCGGGGGCCCCCGTCCTCCGCCGCCGCCGCCTCCTCGGGCTGCAGCCGGCTCGGCGGGCAGGTCCCGGCGCTCGCGGCGCGGGGCCGGGGCTGGGGGCGGCTGCTCGGCGCCCCCGCGGCGCTCGCCGGCCCCGGAGTCGAGGCTGCTGAAATTCCACACGACCAGCGTCTGCAGCAGCAGCACGGTGAGCGCCGCGAGCAGCGCCGAGTGCGAGCGCCGGGCCAGCCTCCGGGCGCACGGCGCCGCCACCATCTTCGGAGCGCGGCGGGCGAGCGGGGCGCGGGGACCCCGGGCGCTCGGGCCGCCCCCGCGCTCCCCGCGCCTCCCGCGGCCGCCGGCTGCCGCTCGGGCTCCCGCTCCGGCCGCCGCCGCCGCCGCCGCCTCGGCTCGCCGCTGCTCCTCCTCCTCCGCCGCCGCCGCCGCCGCCGCCTCCGCCGCCGCGGCGCGGAGTTTTCAGACGGGCAGGGACCCGGACGTCACCAGGAGGAGGGGAAGGCGGGGAGGCGGGGAGCGCGAGGCCGCGGAGGGGGCGCCGGGCGCGCGCGCTCGGGAAGGGCGCGCAGGGAGGGTGGGGGCCTAGCGGGGCTCCCCTCCCCACACCCCTCCTCGGGGCAGGGGGGCCGGGGGACCCGCAAGGGGCCGAGGGGACGCGGGCCGGGGTGGCGAGGGGCGGGGCCTGGGGGCGGAGCGAGGGAGGAAAAAGGAGGAGGGAAAGGAAGGGGGTGGGGGCGAGCAGAGAGGACAGACACCCCCAAGACACGAGACGGAGTCGGGTAGGGGAGAGGGGCTCAGTTCCCGCGACAGAGAAAAAGGGGCGGGGGAAGAAAAGCAGAGGGAGCTTTGGGGGAGGGTGGGCCCGCTCAGAATCAAGGGGAGGTGAGGAGCATCGGAGGGTCCTGAGCTCCTGCCTTCCATGTGGGAAGCAAGCACGAGGCCGCTGAGTGCAGCCGGCTCCTCGCCCCGGAGTTTGCGAGCCAGGGGTCTTCCGGGGTCACAAAGACCGCTGGGCAGCTGGAGCCGGGAGAAACGGTTCTTCAGGAGCGTCAGAGCCACAGAAGGGTCTCACGCAGCCTGCATCCCTGGCTTATAGGGGCAGGGGAGAGGCTATGAATGAGTCTCTGAGTGACTCCTGAATCACTTCCCACCCCCTAGTGCCAACGATGTGCTAAGCTCTTCACTGAGTCACTTCTCCGGTCCCTAAGGACGCACAAGCCAAGAGACTCCAACCCCAGTTGGCAAGCAAGTGCTTTAGCGAGGAAAGGGAGACCCCGTGGAGTTTCTCCACCTTTCCGGGCTGCAAGCCCCAAAGTCTGGCGCCCCCCCCCCCCCCCGCCCCCCGCCCAGCCTTTCACCAGGTCCTTCTTCCCATCCGTCCTGAAGTCTGCCTTCCTGTCTGCACAGGGCTCAGCTCCCCGGGGAGGGGTCTTGCCTTGGAAAGTGGGCTTCTTTCCCATCCCGACTGGACTGTCCCGGTGACCTTGAGGCAGAAGGACTCCTCCCAGGGCACGAGCTTCCTCCTCTGTCAATGAGGGTTGAGACTGACGATCCCAATGGACTCAAGTTTCATCCCCAGCCTTCTCTGACTCAGTCTTTCCGTTCCTTGTCCTCTCGTCCAGGCCTCTATACACAGCAGCCTGAACACATGGAGAGTGCATCGAGGGAGTGGGTGTCCTGGACAGGACCTAGCACTTTCCAAAGACAGCAGCAGACCGAATCCCCAGTGTGTGAATGGAGGACTCGGGATGAAGGCTTTGCGTCTTGTCCATTATGCTTTGAACCCTCAGCCTAACTTTTAAAGGGAAGAAAATGGGGGCCTAAAGAGGATCCATCAGAGAAGGAGGCAGGGAGGGGAAAGCGATCATTTCATCCGCTCAACAAGTGTCCATGAACATCAAACTTGTCTCAGGCCCTGGGCCAGGTGCAGGGACCCAAAGGTGAGTGAGGCTTAGTCTCCCCTTCCACAAGCTCGGGGTCTAGGGGAGAAGCCACATCTAGATGTCTGTGATATCATCATCACTTTGGAGATACACACAAAGTGCTCATGGGTTCCTAGGGGTGGGGCGGGAGTGGCCACCAAGAAAATGCTTTCTGGACCCATGTAATAAGCCAACCTACTTCTCTGAGCTGGGAGTGTAAAATGACAGCTAGTGGGGATGCTGAACTCCAGACCAGACTCAGCCTTCCAAGGATCTACAGCCTGGCCAGGCATAGAGGCCTTCCCTTTGGGCTCAGCCCACCTAACTAGGAGTGAGGTAGAAGAAGAGAGACAAGCTCCTACAGCCATGAATCTTCTGTTGTCTGTTTATCACTTGAGAGTATTTTGTTTATTAGTAATAAAACACCTATTCTAACTCTCTGAAAAATAGAGTTTATGGGATCATGTAACTGAACGTTCCAGAGGAAAGACATCAGGTGAGGTTTGATCCAGCAGCTCGGAACTATGACCCAGGATTTCTTTCCTTTCCATCTCTCCTCTGTCTTTCATGGGGTCTGCTTCATCCTGAGGTTCTCTCTTCATGTCGCAAGATGCCTAGCATCAGTTCCTGAGACTACTTGTATCTTTTATTCATTTCTAGCTCAGGGGAAGGAGGGTCAGTATTTCCCAGCATTCTCCTCAAAGGTCCAGAGATTCTCTCTGATTGAACTAGCTTTAGGTCATAGGCCATCCCCAAACCAATCACTGCGGCCAGGAAGACAACGTTCTGATTACTTTGACCAAGGTCGCCATCTGTCACCTCTGGCACTGAGGAGAAGCCAGCTTCCCTGCAGCCACCTGGACGTTCTGTAGGGATCAGGATCTTGTAGGAAGGAGGGACTAGGTGCAGGGAAGGCAGCCGCCATTATCCATTCCATGCAGCCACAGTGATGCTACACGACCTTGGGCAAGTCACTCTCCTCCCAGGACTTCAGTTTCTTTAGTGCCAAATGAGGGACTGGAGGAGATGGTCCCCAAGATCATCATGTCATGTCCCCCGGACTCTTCCTCAGTGTCCAAACAGAGCTTCTCGTCCCAGCAGAGGCCTCGCTGAGGGCTCTGAGCACCTCTGCCCTCCGGCCTCCCATCTTTGCTTCAAGGTCTCGCCTGCATTTTCCCGCTAAGCAGCAATGATGTTTCTGCTTGCTGTGCATGACACGTTTAACCACAGTCCTTTGGGGCCTATGCTCTGGGTCAGCTCCCTCAAGGGCCACAGGCTGAAGGAGGGAGGTTAAGGACTCGTGCCCTCAAGTCCCTGGAGAGAGAGGCAGTTGTTTGTATCTTAACTCATAAAAAGCCGTGTGAGAAAGAGGTTTAAAAGCTCCGGGCAGGTTATGGAGGCCATAAACAGCTTCTGTGAGGTTTGTAGGATGAAGAGGGACCCAAGACCATATTCCTGCCTCCAGACAGACAGACAGACAGCACCTCCGGCATCTCCGTGGAGCCTGATGGAGAAGAAAGAGCCGGAGTCCCGCCCGAGACTCTGGCAGAGCAGCTGTAGCAACAGCAGCAAGTTTCTTTAGAATTTTTAAAGCTCATTCAGTCATTCAACACAGATGTATTGGACCCGATTATGCGCCAGGCGTCATGCTGGGCAAGCAAAATAGAGATATGAAGAAGGTCCCCTGAGGACTTTTTCTTTTTAAATACGGTTCCTACTCTGGAGTGAACTGAGAACCAGAACTCTAAAGAGGTACCAACCGACGTGTGGGGTTCCCTCCCCATCTCCACCCGCAAATCTTGTTTCCGCACCACGTTCAAGTGGGGGGGGGGGGAGGAAATCAATCAGTCAACTACAAGTTGTAAGGTGCTGGGTGTGCCCACTGCTAAGTGAGGGGCTGTGAGGGAAGTCAGAGGGAGGGGGTCTTCACCTTCAAGGAGCTGTCACACAGCTTCCCAGCTCTCCCGCCTTTTAACTGAGACTTTTAGCATCAGTTGGTCACCTTCTCTATGCCTCAGTTGCCTCATCTGTAAAATGGGAGATACTAATAGGATCTTTCGCATAGATTTCTGATAAGGATTAATGAGATAACCCGTGTAAAGATTCTTTTCTATGGAGACTGGTACATAGTGAGGGTTCAGAAAAATATTAGGTATTATTCGTTTTATTAATAACAGTAGGGCAGCATCAATTATGAGTGTCCAAAGATATCAGAGGGGAAAAGGGGAAGTCAGAGAAGGCTACCTGGAGGAAGCAGCACTAAATCTAATTCAAGCTAATTCTCGACTTTGATAGAGGACTCCAAGTACCCCAAGGGCCAGGACCTTGTCTCATTCCTCTCTCCTCTCTCCGGCACGTTGCTGGGGTCGTGGAATGCACACCGGTCACAGGAGGGCAAGCGGAAATGAGCCCGGTGCGTTCCTCCAGCAGCAAGCCAGCGGGCCAACTGGTGCTTCCTGGAACCCATCACCATCTCAGCACCCTTTTAGTTGTGTGATTTTAAGCAAGTCGCCTAACATTACCGATTCTCAATATTTTCATCTGTAAAAGGTGAAGAAAAGAATACCTAGGTCCTAAGGCTGCTGGGGGGCAGAGGATCAGGATGTTGGACGTAGGAGTGTCATGTATTTCCTGGAAGATGTGGGCACCGGCCACTGGCGGAGTTGAAGGTCCATTCGGTCACGTTGGCAGGCTGGTGGGTGGAGAAATGCTCTGCCCTCCCCTCAGGCAGTCCTGACAGAGGGGACCAGAGGGCCAGAGCCTGACGTGCCTCCTTCAGAATTTAAATAAACTTCAGCCAGAGACTCAAATTTAGTCAAACACATGGTTATTTTTTATCATCTTAATCACGTGTCTGTTTCTTTTTGGTTTATTAGAGCCTGTTTTTACCCAGACTCTACAAATTGACCCTGACTGTGCTCTTAAAAAATTAAAAACCTCCGCTTAGTTTCACTTCTGCATCAAACAGACAGCGTAAACATGGGTCACCTGTTTTTGAGTCTCCGTGGGAGAGTTTGGCATCGAACATCGTCCCACCGCGACCTATCCCTGAGTGTCTCGGCAAGCACCCGCGAGCACCAGGATTCCTGAGCACCTGGAGGTGAGAAAAGCCAGGATGCCGAAAGCTCCCGGGGCTCCCAAAGCACCTGCGGCCACGGACAGACATCACCCGTACCCCGCCCCGCCCCACCCCGCCCAAGAGAAGGAAACAGCCTCTGGTCAGACCACAGGCAGAGGCAGGCCCTGCCGGATGCCCAGCCCAGCTGTGCTTCTGAAACCTGCGGTTTTTCCAGCGAATCCTCCACCCGGTGTATCAGCAGAGGGAGCTCTAGCTAGCAAATAACTTTCCTCCGACCGCATCCTCTCCTGGAGAAGAGATCCAGAGAGAGCAGGGAAAAGCAAGCGCCTAAGGGGAGCTGGCGCCCCTGCCGTGCAGAAGGAAACCCCACCAGTCGGCAAGGGCGGGGCTTGGGGGATCGGGGGAGGAGGAGAGACCCCTTCCCCCAGCCCCCCCCCCATGAAGAAGGAAGTGAGAAAATCAGAAACCACCGAATTTCTGCAGAGGTTGTCTGGCCTTGTTCTGCCCCAGCACCTTGGGTCCCCGGGGGCTCACAGCCTTTCTGCTGTCTTCCCAGTGCATGATGTTCAAGAAGGGGACACACTCCCCGTCCAAGTCTCAGACTACCTTGGCAGACATTTTTTATCTTTAAAATAAATGTTTATGGTGTGTCAGTGGTGCCCAATCTGCTTACTAGGGCTATCAGTTTGGGACTGTGCCCAGCACACTAGTGATGATGGGGTGGTGATGATGATGATGATGGTGATAATAATGGTGATGATGGCGATGATGATGGTGCTGATGGTGGTGGTGATGATAATGATGGTGATGATGATGATGGTGTTGGTGATGATGGTGATAATGGTGATGATGGTGGTGATGGTGATAATGGTGATGATGGCGATGATTATGGTGCTGATGGTGGTGGTGATGATGATGGTGTTGGTGATGGTGGTGATGATGGTGGTGATGGTGATAATAATGGTGATGATGGCGATGATGATGGTGCTGATGGTGGTGGTGATGATAATGATGGTGATGATGATGATGGTGTTGGTGATGATGGTGATAATGGTGATGATGGTGGTGATGGTGATAATGGTGATGATGGCGATGATTATGATGCTGATGGTGGTGGTGATGATAATGATGGTGATGATGATGATGGTGTTTGTGATGATGGTGATAATGGTGATGATGGTGCTGATGGTGGTGATGATGATGGTGCTGATGGTGGTGGTGATGATAATGATGGTGATGATGATGATGGTGTTTGTGATGATGGTGATAATGGTGATGATGGTGGTGATGGTGATAATGGTGATGATGGCGATGATTATGGTGCTGATGGTGGTGGTGATGATGATGGTGTTGGTGATGGTGGTGATGATGGTGGTGATGGTGATAATAATGGTGATGATGGCGATGATGATGGTGCTGATGGTGGTGGTGATGATAATGATGGTGATGATGATGATGGTGTTGGTGATGATGGTGATAATGGTGATGATGGTGGTGATGGTGATAATGGTGATGATGGCGATGATTATGGTGCTGATGGTGGTGGTGATGATAATGATGGTGATGATGATGATGGTGTTTGTGATGATGGTGATAATGGTGATGATGGTGCTGATGGTGGTGATGATGATGGTGCTGATGGTGGTGGTGATGATAATGATGGTGATGATGGTGATGGTGGTGATGATGGTGCTGATGATGGTGATGATGGTGGTGATGGTGATAATAATGGTGATGATGATGGTGCTGCTGCTGATGATGGTGCTGATGGTGGTGATGATAATGATGGTGATGATGATGATGGTGTTGGTGATGATGGTGGTGATAATGGTGATGATGGTGATGGTGAGAGTTAACATTTATTGAGCACTTACTGTGTACCAAGCCCTATCTGGAGGACTTCAACACATAATAGTCACCAAATATTTATTGAGAACCTACTCGATACCGAGGACAGTGCTCATGCTGGGGATTCAGCCATCAATAAGACACGTAAAGTTCCTGCCCTCGTGAAGTTTGCATTCTAGTGGGGCAGACGGGCCAAGACAAGTAAATAAATGTGTAAACAAGTAATATCAGAGAGTGATGAGCACTATGAAGGAAATAAAAAGGGAGAGATCTGCCAGGATGACTAGAATAGGGCAAGTTTAAACAGGCTGGTAGGGGGTCCTCACTGAGGGAGTGACATTGGAGTGTTTCGTGACCTGTCTCAGGAAAAGCAACTGTTTGGGGAGGCTGGTTCCTTTTAGGCCCCAGCATCCTCAGTCAGCTGAATCAATAGTGTAGATCACTGTGTATATGGGCTATGGTGCTGTATAAATGCAAAATGCTCCTTAATTCATAGTAGTTTTTTTGTCATTTTGGATTTTCTCAAACAATAATTAATAAAAACTATTTGCATGGGTGTGACAGAGTAACGGTGTGGGTTAGGAAAAAGCCCTTGGAAAACGTTAAAAAGATACCATCTTACAAAAGAAGGGTTGAGAGAAACAGGCATTAAATCTCAAAATTTTTTGCCCAAATACCCTTTTATTTTATTAACCTTAGCTCATCCCTCTCGAAGGTTCTCTGTCTTACAGATGCTTCTGTCCAGCCCCTGTATCTTTAAGTTCATAGGCCCAGCCTTGGACCCCCAAACTCATCTTCCCCCGTCTTGTGTGCAGCCTCTGCTCTGCACCCACATCTCAACGCGTCTGGTACCTATTGCGATTCCTCAGTGTCTCTCCAGTCTCTTTTACTTGTACGTCCCAGGAATCCATTCCAAAAAGACTTATGGGAAAAAGGGGTTTATTGGAAGGCCATTGGATTTGCTAGAGTTTGTTAGCTGCCTACCAAATACCCATTGTTCCCCTCTTGCTTGATAAAGAACCCTTGACAAAGATTTGTTGGAGGTGATGATGTGCCCAAGCAGAGAGCAATGGTTCCCAGTCTTCCTTATAGTTAGGGGTGATCAAAAAGAGGACAGTAGACATCATTGTGGAGGTTCCAAGAAATTCTTTGGGGGAGGGTGCTAAATCAGTTGGAAGGAGTGCCCTTTTGCCCCCTGCCATTCCTCTTCTTTCTCTTTGGAATGTAGAAAGGATAGCTGGAACTCCAGCAGCCATCTTGTGAGCTTGAGGATAGAAGCCAGTGCTGGAGGTGATGAGCCAGAAAGATAGAAGCAGCCTGGGTCCCTGATGTGCTTGTGTGTATATAGTCCACCCGTGGACTTTTTTTTTTCGAACCCGAGAATGAACCCTGCATTAGTTGAAGCCACTCAAGCTGAGTTTATGTTTCCATAGCTGGTACACTGAGGTGCGTGATGGACTTGAACAATCTAACTGAAAGACAGTCAGAGACAAAGCTAGGCCTTGGGAAGAGCTGGAACCAGACACGCAAACACATAAGTCAGTCCCTTCATCTCTTGTCTCTGCTTCTCTCTCACGGCAGAACAATGCACATGGTAAGACGCCTGGCCGCCATAGCTCCTGAGTGGCACATCCCACAGCCACATAAGTAAAAGGTTCTCCCTCTACAACCAGGGGCCTCCAGTGGGCCCTCCGTGCTGTGTTTTGCTAGTCCTGCCACTCTCCCGTATGTTAGCCGCTCGCTTGTTCACACTCCCTCCAGTTCCTGACATCCCCCTCCTGCCTCACTTCCCGATGGCCCTGCTTCCTAGGTCACTGGGGAAGGAGGAAACTACCGGAAGGCAGTTCCCACAGCTCCCCCACCTCACTTCCCCACTCGCCTGCTTTGGGACATTGACTAAGCTTTTAGGGACAGACGATCCAGGCTCCGCGTGAGACCCACTCCTCCATCGCTAGACTCACCCTCCCTCACTCACCTCTCTGTGGACCTCGTTCTAACGCCTCCCTCGTTCTTTCCTTTGTCACCGTTTCCCCACTCAACACCATTGTTCCCTCCAGTCTCCAAACTTACTGCTATTTTCCCGATTAAAACAAACCAAAAGTCCTCTCCTGGCCCCACTTCCCTCTCCAGCATGTACCCCAAGTTTCTGATCCGTTTGCAGCAAAAGTCCTGAAAAGAGTTGTCTCTCTCGCTGTCTCCAATTCCTCTTTTCCCGTTTTCTCCTAATTGGGGTTTTAGCTCCCCGCACCTCACACGCACACTAAAACCGCTCTCACTCCTCCTCTCTCTCCCCTCATGTGCTAACCCCTCCCCTTTTCTCTCACTCCTCCATCACCCCGGCTTCCTTGCAGTCTCTGGACCACGCCAGGCAGGCCAGCCTCACAGCATTGCCCTGGTTCTTCCTTCTGTCTGGAATGTTCTTCACTCGGGGATCTGTGTGTCTCCCTCCCTCTCCTTGTTCAAGCTTTTGCACAGATGTCACCTTCTCGTTTAAGCCTTTCCTGATGAGCCCAGTGAAATTGCGTGCCCCCGCCCACACTCTCAATCGTGTTTGTTTTCCATAGCATTTATCAGCTTTCATATACAAATCATTTATTCCCGTTTTTGTTTTATGGCTGTCTCATCCCAAGATAAGCTCCATGAGGCCAAGTTTTGTCTGTTTTGAGCACTCCTCTACCCCCAGCACTAAGTGCCTGGCACGTAGTAGGTGTTCAGTTACATTTTGTTGACTCAATGAGTGAAGCACTTTCTCAGTCATAGTCTAAAAACATCTTAGCAAGGGGGGTTGATTGTTCTGGCTCCAGTCTGGAGCTCACCTGGGACCCATGGACTGTGGCTGCAGGAATGGGATCCCATAAGAAGATGGGGAACCCACATTAGCCGTGTAATGAGGGGGCAACTCACAAGAGGAGGGCCAGCCATGCTGGGGATGTCAGATGCAGGGCGATGGTTGAGAGCGAGACTCCGGATCCAAACCGCCCTGGTCTGAGTCCTGCGTCGTCTTCTTACTAACTCTGGGAACATGGTGAGTTGTTTCACACCCGTTTCCTCTGGGAGGACATCTAACCCTCCTCCTGGGAATGACATGGGGCTTAAATAAATGAATTAATGGTAACAAGCACTTGGGGCAGTGACAAGCACACAGTAACACCAAATACAAAAGCTGAAAATCTGGGGCCGGCCCTGTGGCCGAGTGGTTAAGTTCGCACGCTCTGCTTTGGCGGCCCAGGGTTTTGCCGGTTCGGATCCTGGGCGTGGACATGGCACCACTCATCAGGCCATGCTGAGGTGGCGTCCCACATAGCACAACCAGAGGCACTCACAATTAGAATATACAACTATGCACTGAGGGGATTTGGGGAGAAGAAGAAGAAAATAAAAAAATAAAAAGAAGATTGGCAACAGATGTTAGCTCAGGTGCCAATCTTTAAAAAAAAAAAATCTGCTGCTTTTAAAAGAAAAACTGAAAACCTTTAGAAAAACAATGAGAACTTGATAAAATACATATGTAGTTGAAGAGATCAACATGCTTCTTTTCCATATCAAGCAAATAAATAGAAATAAAAATAAGTAAGGAAATGGAGAAATTGCATTGTGCAACCTACAAACTCAATTTAATAGCTATATACAGAAATATACCTTAATGGAAAATAACTATTGGTTTCTAGTATCCATGAAATCTGTCATACACCTGGACACAAAGAAGCCTCAACAAATGAAATAAAAGAGATTTTGCTCAAGCCAAATTCTCTCTAATAATAATCAAATAATGTTAGAAATAGATTTTTATAATTTAAAAATTGAG